TGAAACAGTTGGAAGTTAGACTTCAGGTATATACCCTGTTGTACTGTGGTAATGAGGGCCTACGCTGTTGAAATGGGCCCACACAAGTCTATGCAGGGGGAAAGATACTAAAAGTCCGTGGACCCCTTATGCCTGTGCCTAGGCAAAGGAGCTGTGCCTACCCTGAGTTCCTGGCTTAGGAGAGCCTACAGATTATTTTTTCCCATTTGTTAATTTATTCACTTGCCAAGGCTGGGAGAATGGCTCAGGGCACGTGATGGGTCCTACTTCCAGCCCAGGCGACTCGGCACTTGCTGCAGCCGGTCCCGGACCCAGTGCAGTGCAGGGAGTGGGGAGGTAAATGGGAGAGAGGTTTTTCCCAAAGGAGGGTGTTTTAGATCCATGCGGAAGGCCAGACACAAGTACTTATCTTTTGCCAATTGAGGACTGCTTCTCACTGGTTCTGGATGGCTGAATAGACTCTCTGCCGCTGGGTCTCTCCCGATGTGGAAATCGCCTCCCGAGTGCCTTGCTTTCCTGCCTCACTGTGCACCACGAGCTGATCTGGCCTCAAGGTCTCAGGCTTTTGCCAGGTCAGGTCTGGCAACTCCTCGCTGCTTCCCAAATGTCTCTCCCTCCCCCTGCCACTCAGTCCGATTTCTCAACTTTGCCTTTGATGTTCAGAGCTCCTTGATTGTCATATATAACCGATTCACTTGTTTTTTCGGATCTTTGTTGTAAGAGGGACCACGAAGCGTCTGACTACTCCACCATCTTGGCCCCGCCCCCCCCAACTAGCATTTTAAAGGACTAACCTCTCACCCTGGCTGTGATATCCTGAGCACCTTTCTTTCCTGAGAACTCTGAACAGTGGTGTCAGTAACTGTCGAACCTGCTCAGGGGTCAAGTTCGTGAGCCTCTGAACACAGGTGATGGTGACTTTATCAGCTGCTGGTGGGTGTCCAGGACTGCAGCCTCATCGTCAGGGCCACAGGTGTCCTGGGGGTGGCATGTGTGCCCACAGCTATGATAGGGCATTGTTCCTGCTGATAGGAGGGACGGGAGTGGGGTGAGGTCCTCTGCGGGCACTGCTCTTCAGCCCACAGGAGGAAGAGCTGCCAGGCCTTGGGAGCGTGTGGAGTAGGGTGCTCCCTAGTTGGTTCAACTCCCAAGTGGCTCCAGGAGGAGCTCTTGAACAATGTCCCTTATACAGGCATCTCCCAAGTTTCTCCCATCTCCACCCCTACTCCTTGCTTCTCAGGAGTCCTCTCCCTTTTAGGGAAATTTCCCAACTAAATCCTCTGTCACTACCCTTCTCCACCTTTTCCCTCACCAATCAGCCTCAGATCTCCTTTTAGTAGGTTGGGGAAGACCCCCCGTCTCAGAATTCTCCAGATATTTCACAAGCATTTCCAAAAACCCATAAAGCCTAGGCTGGAATGATTAGCATCTGAAAAACTGGTTCCTCTTTCCCTGGGGAGAGGGGAGTGGGCTCATGTTCACCCTTCTGGAGGATGAGGGAAACACTGACATCCCATCCTTTTCTGATTAAACTGGTCTGATGGTGGACTTCTCTCCTTGAAGCAGGAGTGTCTGGTTCTGGGGCTCTGTCCTGGTTTCCGTCTACAAAAAAAAAATCCCGCTGGTAGGTCCCTTCCTTCCTGTGACTGGCCGCTGACCTTTAGCTCGGCGGTGAAGCTCCAGAGATGTGGTCTCCTTGGAAGGGCAGCTCATCTGTCCATGGCAGTATTGACACTGTGCCTTACTGATCCCATCAGCAAAGCACAATGTTATCTCTGCTCTAGTGTGGAGTCCTTTGGTGCAAAGGCTCCAGAGAAAGCCTTGCTCCCTCCTGTGCCCTCTGTTTTAGGCTGAGCTCACCTGGCTGTTTGGACTTTTCTCCTGTAAGAATGGCATTGGGCAGCCACTGACCTCCTCTAACTTCACAAGGGGGAAGAAGGACCAAGATCAGCAGCCCAAGGCTGATTCCTATGAGGCGGAGGTCTGACATGCCTCCTTTCTCCACCATCTTTACCAATTCTGACACCAGCTGTCCTTTCCATGGCACTCTCTACTTCTCTGTTGGGTTTGATAATTTATTGCAATGGCCACACAGAACTCACAGACAATACTCACAGTTATGAGGTTTATCAGGGAAGTTAACAGGTTACAATTCATGTTCAGGAATGCTCAGGATACAGTTCTTCCGTTAGGACAGCCTCTTCTCAGCAGTGCCCACAGGCACGCCTCTCTGTGACCCCTCGGCCTCTGCCCTGCTCAGGCAAGTGTTACAAAGCTCTTTTAGCTCTGCTGATTACTACCCCGTACCCCAAGGCACCTCATTCCTCAGTCTGAAGGGGCTCAGCTCTAGCTCTGTGGGTCAGCAAACCTAACTCCACCAAGTGCCTGGATGCACCCTACTTCACCAGCAAGCCTCTTGCCCAAAGGCACTCAGTTTTCTCGCTCTGTGGGCTGGGAAGCCCACCGTGGTGTCTCTTGCTTCTGCTGCTGCCATTTCTCTGCCACCACTTCTTGCTGTCTTTGATGTTACAGCTCTCTCAGTGTCTTGCCTCTAGGAACTTTTCAGTGCAGGGACCCGTGTCCAAAGAATGCACTCCACTCCTGGCTCTTCTTTCTTGGTGGTGGTGAGATACTCTCCTCCCACCTCTGGTATGGCTCATTTTAAGGCTAATAAGATGACAAAACTGACCAGTCCCCTTGGTGGGTGTCTTAGGCTGGGTTCTCTAGAGAAGCAAAACCAGTAAAGTGTATAAATATATATATAGAGAGAGATTATATCAAGGAAACAGCTCATGTGATTGTAGAGGCTAGAATGTCCCAAGTCCGTGGATCAGGGTAGAGGCCTCTCCCAAGTCACACAGCTGCAGAAGCTGGCAAGCCCAAGATTGGAAGGTCGGAGAGCAGGGCTCCCACTCACTGGCTGTGCAGATCGACGAATCCCATGTTCGGCAGATAAGCTGACAGCTCAAGTCCCAAGAACGGGAGATGGGATGACAGGAAGCAGCCGCAAGATCCAGAGAGAGGAAAAAGCCAGAACATCTGCTTATATACAAATGCAGGCCACACCCCCAAGGAGACTCCCTTTCAACTGATTGGCTACTCACAGTATATTCAATCATGGGAGTGATTACATTAAAACACGGAAAATCATGGCCCGGCCAAGTTGACACACCATCTTAACCATCACAGTGGGTGACAAATAATTTGCACAGCCCCACCCAATTACTTGGGTGGGAGTTACAAGACCATGGAGAGAAAGGCCACACAACAGCAATCCATTGCACTGCATCTCCCCTCCCCCACCATGGGCAACTGCTGCGCGTTACTGGCTCTTTCAGTACACACACACATACACACTCACAAACACACATGCATATTCACATGCACACTCACATTCACTCACACATGTATCCATACACATATTAACACACACATGTATAAATGGGTGTGAGCATAAACACACGTATATAGATGTGGACATACACACTCAGAAACATACACAACTACATACACATGCACACAGCACACACGAGTTTATGTGGACACATATGCTGCTACACACGGATGCACAGACTCATACATGCACGCCACACACAGAGGCACACAAATGCACACATACACATACGGCACAAGCACGTATACTCACACACATACACACTGACTCAGACACGAATACCACACACAAGCACACGAGTGTACATGCACACACCCACATTCACACACAAGCACACATTCATGTTATTTCAGAGTTCTTTTTTTAATCTTAAAATGGACATGGATGGTATACTGCCATCAAATTTTGCCTTATTATTAAAACTATCAACTTCTTGATCAGAGTATGATTCCTTATAAAATATATATTTTTCAAGATTCAAGCTTGAAAATTCTGGTCTTAAGTCCAGTGATGAAGGAGATGTTCTTCTGCAGGAGCCTGCTACACGAAATCGCACTTCACAGCTTTGTGCCCCGTTTGTACTCACAGAGAGACAGAAACTCCCAGTGTAAAAAACAAACAAACAACCTTTCCCCCTTCCTGCAAAACAAAACGCCCCTAGTTATTCCTATTCTTCATCTTCCTTCAGGGCTTAAGTTTTATTAAAATAGAGCTTGAGCTTTTTAGTTCTTATTAGCTTGTTAGACAGGTAAGATTCAGATCACAGTACCAAAGGTGTTTGAGAGTTAAAGTTTGTGGATAAGAATCAACACAAATACAATCCTCAAATGTAAAGATTAATCCCCACTTTCCCAATGTCTTTGACACCAACCACCCAAGCGACACCCTCTGTCCCTAGCCACGTGGAGCTAGGTCAGAGCTCATATGTTGAAAGGACACTGTCCTTCAGACTGCCAAATAGGCAGACGCCAGCTGCAAACTTGGTAGCCCACATGACACCCTTACTTCTGATCTGCTGGCCACAAATTCAGGTTTTTCCCACTACCCCGTTAGGATGCCAGCTGCAAGGCTGGGGATCTCTCCTGGGCTCCGCGACTTTCACCTGTTGGCTCCCACTACTCCTTTTGGTTTGATAATTTGCTGGAATGACTCACAGGAAATACTGTACTTATGATTATAGATTATTATAGCAAAAGGATACAAATCAGGATCATCATAAGGAAAAGATGCATGGGTAAGTCCAGGAGGGTTCCCAACGTGAAGCTGCCATATCCCAAAGAGGGTGTTTCATTTTCTGTTTGCAAACCAGGAAGCTCTCGGAGCCTCCGTGTTCAGCGTCTTTATTGGCTTCATTATGTAGTCATGATTGAGGTCTCATTGCATATGCATGATAGGTTAAATTATGCCTCCTGAGGTTAGCTGATACGGGGTCTTTCTGGTCTGGCCAGCCCCTACTCATTATCACAAATCCTCAGGTCTGGAGATTTTAGATAATAAAGACACCTTGATTACTCAGGAAACTCCCAGGGTTATCTCTCGGGAACCAAGGACAAAGACCCCCCCCCCAAAATTTTTTTTTTTTTGGGTAAGGTGAATCATTACTGCACAAAAAGAGTGTGAGAAGTTCTGCTAGAGATGGGTACAGAGGCAGGGAGTGGATGTAGTCTAAAAGAACCTGTCAGAGAAGGCAAGAATGGAAGAAAATGAAACCTTTTCAAGGTATCTGGTTTGGGCAATTTTAACTTCATCTAAGCAATAATATATATAAGACCTAAAAAAAAAAAAATACTTATCACAAACATAAGACTGATACATTTACTATCACACTTAATCTTAAATCCACAATTAAGATGAGGAATAAGCCAATTCTGTAATTCTGAACTAGTCATAGTAGTGCCAGACCAGGGAAACTATCAAAACAAATTTTATTTACTTTTCTGAACCATAAAATCCCTAACTTATTTTTAGTGATTTGAACATATTTTTACAATGCCAAACTTGTTGTTTCCACCATAGAAAGTGTTGTATGCTTGGCACTGAAGAATATGTTTGTCTAGGGTTCCACGATGGCCAGTTACTAGGTAGAAAAATAATTGGGCCTCACAGCTCCCCAGGATGGAGGGAAGAGCCAGGGTCCTGAGAAGGTCATGGGGTGGGAGACACAGGAACGTGGGAGAGATGCACTTCTTTGACACAGAACTAAAGGTTTTTTTTGACTTCCTTTTGTTTCATCTCGCCTTCCCATTAGAGAAACACCTTCATCTTATTTTACATTATTTTTTTTATTCCTCCAACAATGTATTTCTGTGCCATGACTGTCTTTTTATTGGGCCTCTCAAACATTGAGAAACCCAGTGGTAGGAGCAAAAATTCACTGCCTGGTTATGTTTGGACTGATAGTTCGGAGATGTTTTAACACTAACAGCATCAATTTCTAATCTTCACTCAAAATATCATTTGCCACCATGGTACAGAGGGGGAAATGGGCGATGAGGAATTGGTCCATTGGGCTATGCAGCAGGCCCATGATGGAGGGGAGCTGGTGACAATTGTGACCCCTCTTTTCCTCCTCCTTTCTGACTGTTCAGCCACCTTTTCCCAAATCTACGCATTTATCAAAATACAACCTGATGGAGGCAAGAACGCCAGGGCTTGGTCAAGCCTAGGAATACATCTGCTGCAAAGCAGGGAGACCAGTTTTTCCTCACTGGCTCTGAGGAAACCTGTGCTAACAGCTACTGAGCTTCTTCCTTAGTTGGCCTTATTCAGAGTCTCACTCATACACTGCAATGTACCCTGGTTGCGACCAAGCCAGTGTGAGAACGGAACCTGGAAAAGTGGACAGAAAGATAGCTAGGAGCAAACTTAGAAGAAAGAAGAAAAAATGGCCGTTCGGCACATTCTTTTCATTAGGTTCTTCTGCCTGGAAGGTCTGGCATGCTTTAGCAGCTTTGCAAGCCTGTTCCAGTACAGCAAAGGATAAGAGTAAATACCTTCACCGTCTGAACTTCCTCTCTGCCAAGCAAATGAAACTAGACAGCAATGATGGCTCACTCTGTGGGCCTCACGTTTTTAACACGCTTGGTTTCCATGGAAAGCAAGCTGTGGGATAAAGCTGTTAAAAGTGCCTGCTCTCTCTGTAGTTTTGGGATTGGACGGAAGGAAGACTGGGAAGAAAGGGCAGCTGCTGCCAAACATGTAAGCTGCAGAGCTGCGAGCCCAGCCACCTCCAGGGCACTTTTCCAAGCTCTCCCAGAGTTTCCAGAGAGGAGGTACCGCCAGCCTCACCTCTGCAGGGCCCTTTCTGCTGCATCCTTTCTTGCAGCTCAGGGACTGCAGGTGGGCAACAGCTTCCAGGATTTGAGTCTTCCTCGGGCTTGGTCATCCTGGGGTCAGTCTGCTCTGGCAGTGGAGGTCTCCCAGCGGATCTTTTGGCTGCGGAAGGAGGACTGGCGAGGGTACCACAAAGCTGTCCCTAACTTATTAGGTTGAGCCACAGGAAACTGTCAACATCCAACCCTTCTGACCTTTAAAAATGGTGATTTCATATGATTGAACCTAAACTTTCAGTAAGGGTAAAGCAAGTGGAACCCAAAGAATCTACTGTCTGTATTTGGAAGCAGAATCTACTTCTGTGTTTTCTAGAACATTAGTCTCCCAGTTCACTGTCAGTCTTGTCTAAGACCCCTTCAGTGATGATAAGCTATGCTGTTGGTAAGACATAGCAGCGTACGTTACGTTAACAGCGGTCAGTGGATTAATCCCTAGAATCCTAGACATCAGATTTGAGGTATCCATACCTAGAGGACCTAGCTTCCTAATCTAGCCCAAAAGATTCATCTGTTCAGATACAACAAAACTCTGTAATTACAATGCACAGGTACAGAGACATACATACACCCAGATATTTATGCCTTCTTTCTACCATGTCTAAGTTTGCACTAACCGTTTTTTTTACGAACTTTTTCTCTAGTCTGCAATGGAGCAGACCTCAGGCTGATGCAACCTTAAGGAGCTCATTCAAATCTCAGGAGAACTGGACACTTATCCTAAGGAGACACAAACAGCTGCTGATACTTTCACAGGGAGGGCTTCTGTGTCAAAACATTGGGAGTGGAGACTGAGTTCCTGGAGCTGTGTTCAGAGGACGGTTGGGGAAGGTTGATGTTAGCAGGCTTCTCCCTGCAGGGAACGCGGCTGTGGGCGAGAAGAGCGGAGTGCAGACGATGCTTCTGGAGGAGGGAGAACCTTGGGCAGAATGCTGTGGAATTCACCAGATGCTCCTCTATACCAAAGTTTTACCAGGCTCCAGCTTTATAAATAAGCCTAAACCCACAAAATAACAGAAAACGATCATCAGTCATCTGATTTCCACCTGAAGGGACACTCTAAGAGAAGACACACACAGAACTACAGGCAGACAGATGGACGTTTGACTTCAGTCTGTCCACCTGTTCTCATTTTCTTCAGTCACATTAAGAATCAACTTCTGACTGTCTCAGTACTGTACTGCCTCATCCTGGGTAACCGGTCCTCTCTCATTTGGCCATTTCACGCTGTACTGCCACTTCCATTAGAGATATGGAAGTGGCTGGAGGCAAGATGAAAATTCAGCCATCCGGCACCTTTACGATATTGAAAAATTTAGGGAGACAGGAGGTATAAACCACAGCCTGGAATGGAGTTTTTATACTGACTGTGGATTCAAATTATTCACGATTTCCCTCTTGCTCCTTTAAGCCATCATTCCTATAAACAGTTGATACTTAGGGGAAAAACAGACTTCTTAGACAAGACACATAAAGTACTAATCATAAAGGAAAAAATTTAATAAATGCAACTACATTAATATTAAAACCTTTTGTTCCTTAAAAAGATACCTTAAAAGAAATAGACAACTTACCTACTAGAAGGAGGTATGTGCAACTTTCATAACCAACCAAAGGACTGATTTAATATCAACTACATAAAGAACTTCTATAAATCAGTAAGAAAATAAGAAAAACCAAACAGAAAAAGAGGCTGAACACATAGATAGTAATTTCACAGAATGGGATAATATATATGGTCAGTAAACGTACGACAAAGATGCTCAACCTCATTCGTGATAAGGAAATACAAATCAAGATCACAATGAGATAGCATTTTATAACTATTTGATTTGATTGACAAAAATCAAGAAGTCTGACTTTCGCAGTTGCTGGAGAAGAACAGGGATCAAAAGAATCTCATACATTGCTGGTGGGAGTGTAATTTGGTACAACTTCAGAAATCAGCCTGATATTCTCCTGTTAAGCTGAACACTCACATACCCAGAAATTCTCCTCCTAAGTATGTGCCAAGCTCTTGCCCGTGTGCACTACCAGGAGACATGAACAATGATGTTCACAGCTCTCCATTCACATAGCCAGGGCCCATCGTCAGGAGAGACGACAGACCCACTGTGGTACAGCTACACAATGAAATACCATACGGCAGTAATATGAGTCCACTCCCAGCCGACAACATGGATGAGCCCCAGTTAATGTAAAGCTGAGTGAAAAAAAATCAAGTTCCAGAAGAACACATATAGCATTTCTTCTATACAAAACACAACAACATATTCTTTAGGCATATATATATTTTTGATGAAACTAAAAAAAAAAAAAAAAAAAAGGGGCATAAAGGAATGAAAAATAAAATTCCAGACTGTAGTTACTTCTGGGGTGAAAGCAGGAGGAGATGGGGGTGGTATGTGGAAGATATTAGTAAGATTTTGGTTCTTGTTTGTTCATAGGCTCTAGTGTATCTATCATTAATTTAAAATATAAATACGTTAGTGAATGAATAAAGGCAAATAAAAGGTGACATTCATGTACTAATAATAACTGTGTGTCCTAAAGCAAGGATTAGGATTACTCCAAACCTGTGTATCTGAGGGCCATTAAAATAAAAAAGAAAATAAAGAAAAACACTGGCTATCTAACTCAACTTGTCTAAGTCTGAAGCTAATGAAGGTGGGGCTATGGTGGCCCCTGTCTGCACAGCCCTGTGAGAGCCAGGAGCCGTGCAGCGGGAGCCGGGAGCCGTGCAGCGGGAGCCGGGAGCCGTGCAGCGGGAGCCGGGAGCCGTGCAGCGCTCACAGTAGGGCGGGGAAGCAGGTGCACTCCGCGAGCATTTCTGTGTATGCATTTCTGGTAAACTGCCTATAGAGATCTCCGAAAGAAGGGACCTGAAAACAGGTCTCCAAGACAACAATAATATGTTGAGATTTCTTTTCTCATTTTAAATAGTAAATATTCACTTTTGTTCCCAATTTTGTATTCTTTTTCTTAAAGTGAGCTTCTTAAATTGTGCAAGCCTTAGGACCCCTAAAACCTTCCACCCCTGGTAATGCAGTCACCCAACCACATTCAAATGGTACAAAAGGGCATACAGTAGAATCTCCCTCGCAACCCACCCAGTCCCCTTCTGAGGCAACCAATATTCATGTGTGAAACTTGCCTGGGACAATCTATGCATACATATATTACTTTTTGTTGAAATAATTTCAAGCTTACAGGAAAACTGCAGTAGTACGAACAACTATTTTCCCCGAACCACTGAAGAGTAACTTGCCAAGTATGTGCCAAATGACAATACGTGTCAGTTACTCATTACAACATTATTTGTAAGGTAAGATTGGGGAAACATAAATGTCCAATATTTCTCATTCCAATCCAACACCAGAGTGGATGCTAGTTTTCTCTCATTCATACCTGGAACTCCCTTTTCTGACAGTCGATTTACTTATTTTTTAGCCCTCCAGTATGTGCCATCCATCCTCCCCTGCAGGGACTCTGTCTTAAGTCATCCATTGCTGCTGTGTTATTATTAGAAACACCACAAGTGGAGGGCTTCAACAAAGAGAAATTTATTCTCTCATAGTCTAGCAGGCTAGAAGTCCAAATTCAGGGCATCAGCTCTAGGGGAAGGCTCTCCTCAACTCTGGAGGAAGGTCCTTGTCATCAATCTTCCCCTGGTTGAGGAGCTTCTCAGCGCAGGGACCCTGGGTCCAAAGGCCGCGTGCTCCTGCTCTTCATTCTTGATGTTATGAGGTCCCCAACTACCTGCTCCCTTCCCTTTCCTTTCATCTCTTGTAAGATAAAAGGTGATGCAGGCCACACCCCAGGGAAATTCCCTTTGCATTAGATCAGGGATGTGACCCGGATACATCCCACCCTAATCCTCTTCTCTTGTGTCATTAACCACAGGCAGAGATTAGGATTTACAACACACAGGAAAATTACAATCACAAAATGGAGGACAACCACACAATACTGGGAATCATGGCCCAGCCAAATTGATACACCTATTTTTGGGGACACAATTCACTCCATGACAGGCTGTGACACCCCACGCCACTCTCCTTCCTTCCGTGCTTGGGCTCTGACACCCCACAACGGGCCACACCCCTGTGCAGATGTCCCTCGCATGCGCCTCTAGCTCTGCACTCTGCTGGGCCTTCGATGCCCTCCCTCCAGGTAGCCTCCCCCTCCATCTCTGAGCCGACTGTGCCTAACCCCACCTAATGGCTTTGGAACACATTATTCAGGAATGAAGGAAGGCATGAAAGGGAAAGAGGAAGAAAAAGGGGGAAAAGAAGGAAAGGAGAAGATCACAGGGAGGATCCCTCCCTCTCCTCACCCTGATGATGACATGCCCTATTCACCACCCTGCACCTTGCATTTTCCATTCAATCTGTATTAGAGACTGCTCCAGATCATACAGAAAGAGCTTCCTTACCCTATTCTCCGGATGACCTGTAGTCCACCTAACCAGCCTCCTACTGATGGACAGCTAGGTCTTCCCGCCTGCTGGTAATGCAAACAACACTGCAATGAGTGACGCGCGTACACGGTCATTTTGCACACGTTTGTATAAAAGCCAGGTGCTGTCGAGTCGACTCTGACTCGTGGTGCCACCATGTGCATCAGAGCAGAACTGTGCCCACAGGGTTTTCAATGGCTGATTTTTTGGAAGTAGATCGCCAGGCCTTTCTTCCACAGTGCCTCTGGGTGGACTCTAACCTCCAACCTTTCAGTTAGCAGCTGAGTGCCTGTTAGTAGACCTGTTGGATAAAGTCCTGAAACTGAGTCAAAAGATACACGACTTTGTAATTTTGATAGCTAATGGCAAACAACCCTCTACCAGCAATGTATAAGAATACCTTTAACTTGTTCTTCGCATGACAGGGAGTTAAAAATTTATGGGCATGTGTGGGTTATAAACTAAAACAAAAGAAAAAAAAAATGATGGGGAGAGAGACAGAGAGCTAGCTAGACAGGAAGATAACAGCAGCTTCTTACCTGTTCCCTCTGTGTATACGGTCTTCTCATCAACACTTTGAATATTACAGGAAACAAAAAGTTTCCTTCCTTCAATTTTATCCAGTTGGGTATTTATCACACCAACAGAACACAGTGGCATAGGCCTGCAGGAGGAAAAACATCCGTTTTTCATCACATACTTGTAACACTGAGAGAGAATCCAGTCCATGATGAGGGGTGGAAATGTATGCTACTTGATGTTAATGGGCGTGGACTGCCTTAGAGAAACCATGCCTCCCCCACCAGGTGGCCCCTGGGCATACTGAAGCACACTGCCCTTCTAGGTGAGGTTGAGAGAGACTGCCGGCCATCTCAGCTCTGTGACGGCAGACTCTTTGCAGGTCCAGAGCAAAGTCGGAAGGGAGCTGAAACCTTGAAAGATCTGAAGACAGGGCCACACGATGGTCCCAGTCGGCTACGCTCAGTCCTTTTGTCACAATAAAAATTTCTCACTGGTCCTCTTCAGAGTAACTGACACCCTGCACTGGTGTCATCAGAAAGACACCTGATATCAGCAAATTGGTGGTGACAGCTTAATGTGTTAAGTCAGTGCTTGCCAACAGAATTTTCTATGGTGATGCAGAAACGTTCTACATCTGTCCGATATAGTAGCCACACATGGCTACTGAGCACTTGAAATGTGGCTAGTGTGAATGAGAAATGGAATGTTTAATTTAAATTAATTTTATTTAAATAGCTACCTGTGACTAATGGCTACAGTCACCAATGGGAACCCTGGAGATTTGGGTACCATAATGAAAAGAACTGCTCTTTAAAGATGAAACTTCAGGTGGCAGAGAAATAATGTAGAGGAGGAAGATGTTTCTCGTGCTCCTACAGTACCACCACATGGATGAGAAAACTACTCCAGGTGGGAAGAAAGCTATCAGGGTGATTGCCTCCCTGCTGAGTTTTTGCTCCTGTGATCTTTTCTTATTCCCATCAGCCTTTCCCGAGCCTCAAGATGGAACAGTGAAGCTTTCGAAGAGCCAGCTTTTGGCTTTGATAAGTCTGTTTTTTTCTTTTATTTTAAAGTTTTGCTCATACTTTATTATCACCTGTCTGCCTCTAATACAAATCTAAGTAAGTCGTCTAGCAAAACTGGATTAAGGAAAATTATCTACAGCCTGTTTTTATGCTAATAAAACTAATCTGTGCCTAAATGTGAGTTCCATTTAGAAAATTATACTCTATGTAGTTGGTATATTATGTTGAGCCAATTTAAGATTTACTAAGACCCAGGGCACATCAAGTGTTCTTACCTGCCCAACATCTCACTTTCCTACCAACATTACCCCTTCATTATCTACCCCTAGCCCTCAACTCTCTCTCTTTCACACAGTCACACACCCCCTTCTTTGGAGAATCACCTCTCCCCCATTCTTAGCCCATGTGGGTTTACTACAGTTGACCCCACCCTCTGACTCAGTCAATCCTGGGGCTTTCAATGTAGTCCTCAGGGCTCAGTTCTTTTTCTGCTGTGGCTGCTGGGCTTGCAAGATACACGCCTGGCTGGTGGCCACTGTGCCGCCACGTGGGGAAAGGCCCCCTGAGGATGAAGCAGATGCAGAGGAAAGCGTGGCTGAGACACGGAAACACTGGTAATAGTGTCGCTGGGCTTCTACATCCATCACGCCGGACTTCTCAAACACAAAAGCCAACATGTCCCCTTTCTCTCTTAGGCTAGTGTGAGTTAGGAGTTCTATCCCTTGCAATGGGAAGAGTCCTTGATTACTAGAGGCTAAGAGAAAGGGTCTCAGAAAATACAAAATAATATACCAATTATGTAGAGTATAATTTTCTAAATGGAACTCATATTTAGGCTCAGATTAGTTTTATTAGCATAAAAACAGGCTTTAGTTTTAATTTTCCTTAATCCAGTTTTGCTAGACAACTTAGACTTGTATCAGAGGCAGAAAGGTGCTAATAAAGATATGAGCAAAACTTTAAAATAGAAGAAAAAAACAGAGAGAGACTTATCAAAGCCAAAAGCTGGCTCTTTGAAAAGCCTACTTTCTGGCAAGATACCAAAAAAGAAAAAACAATTCACTGCTGTCGAGTCGATTCTGACTCACAGTGACCCTATAAGGCAGAAATAAAACTTCCCCATAGGGTTTCCAAGGCTATAAATCTTTACGGAAGCGGACTCCCACATCTTTCTCCCACATAGCAGCTGGGGAGTTCGAACTGCTGACCTTTGGGTTAGCAGCTGAGCACTTAAGCACCAGGGCTCCTCTTCTGGCAAGATAGATCAAGAAAAATGAGAAAGCATAAATAAATACTATTGGAGCCAAAACAAACGTTAACTATAGATTTGGAAGAGACAGAAAAATCGAGAATAAGATGAGTAACTTTGTGTCAGTAAATCTAAAAACAGATAAAATGGAAACATTTGCAGAAAAATCTATAACCATAGTTGACGAAAAAGGATGATAAAGTTTGAACAGTTGGAAAAGAAGACATTGTGAACTGTTCATGTGAAGACTGTGGAAATGGCAAATGTTCCGTTACCTATTTACCACAGACACAAAAAGACATGGACCCTGGAGGACAGCGGAGCCACTCAGGAAGCAGCCTGGGTCTCTGAATCACTTCATGGGGGCAAGTCCCTCACTGACCTGGGACTATTATGTAAACGAATGTCAACTGGTTTAAGCTTGTACAATGTAGGGATTGTTACAGCAGCTACTGTTACACTAATCTACCACAGATTTTTAAAAAATTCCCTTATTTTCGACATCTAATTTAATGTGGCCAGAGAACATGCCCTGTAAGATGGTGATTCTTTACAATTTATTCAGATTTGCTTTATGGAGCAGCATAGGATCAACTTTTGTAAATGTTCTGTGTACTTGGGAAAAAAGTATATTTTTTTCAAATTACTACGTGTAAGGTTCTACACCACCTCTCGTCAGTTTGTCGCACTGTGGTGGCTTCTGTGTCGCTCTGATGCTGGACGCTATGCCACCACTATTTCAAATACCAGCAGGGTCACCCGTGGTGGACAGGTTTCAGTGGAGCCTCCAGGCTGAGAGAGACTAAGAAGAAGGACCTGGCAGTCTACTTCCGAAAAAACTGGCCAGTGAAAACCATATGAATAGCGGTGGAACGCTGTCGATACAGTGCTGGAAGATGAGCCACTCAAGTTGGAAGGGTCTCAAAATACGACTGGGGAAGAGCTGCCTCCCCAAAGTAGAGTCGACTTTAATGTGGATGTAGTAAACCTTTTGAGACCTTCATTTGCTGATGTGGCAAAACTCAAATGAGAAGAAACAGCCGCAAACATCCACTAATAATTAGAATGTGAAATGTACGAAGTATGAATCGAGGGAAATTGGAAGTTGTCAAAAATGAAACAACACATACAAATCGAGATCATAGGCCTTAGTAAGCTGGAATGGACTGGTATTGACCATTCTGAATTAGACATTCACATGGTCTCCTACGCTGGGAATAACAAAATGAAGAGGAATGGCGTTGCGTTCATCTTCAAAAAGAAAATTTCAAGATTAATCCTGAAGTACAACACTGTCAGTGATAGGACAACAACCATAAGCCTACAAGGAAGACCAGTTAACATGACTATTATTCCAATTTATGCCCGAACCACTAAGGCCAAAGATGAAGAAACTGAAGATTTTTACCAACTTCTGCAGTCTGAAATTGATCAAACATGCAACTAAAATGTATTGGTAATCACTGGTGACTGGAATGCAAAAGCTGGAAACAAAGAAGAGGATCTGTAGTCAGAAAATACGGCCTTGGTGACAGAAACGAGGCCGGAGATCGCAGGATAGAACTTTGCAAGACCAATGACTTTATTCATTGCAAATACCTTTTTCAACAACATAAACGGCAGTCCAGATGGAAAACACAAGAATCAAATTGCCTACATCTGTGGAAAGAGACAGCGTAGATGCTCAATATCATCAGTCAGAACAAGGCCAGGGGCTGACTGAGGAACAGACCATCAACTGCTCATATGCAAGTTCAAGCTGAAGCTGAAGAAAAGAAAAACAAGTCCATGAGAGCCAAAGTACGACCTTGAGTATATCCCACCTGAATTTAGAGACCATCTCAAGAATTGATTTGACACGTTGAACATTAATGACCGAAGACCAGATGAGCCGTGGGATGGCATCAAGGACATCGTACATGAAGAAAGCAAAAGGTCACTAAAAAGACAGGAAAGAAAGAAAAGAGCCAAATGGATGTCAGAAGAGATACTGAAAACCGCTCTTGAACACAGAGCAGCTAAAGTGAAACAAAGAAATGATGAAGTGAAAGAGCTGAACAGACGATTTCAAAGGGCAGCTTGAGAAGACAAAGTATTATAATGACGTGTGCAAAAACTTGGAGTTAGAAAACCAAAAGAGAAGAACACACTCAGTATTTCTCAAGCTGAAAGAACTGAAGAAAAAATTCCAGCCTTGATCTGCAATACTGAAGGTTCCAATGGGCAAAATATTGAACAATGGGCAAAATACTGAACAATGCAGGAAGCATCAAAAGAAGATGGAAGGAATACCACAGTCACTGTACCAAAAAGTACTGGTCAACGTTCAACCATTTTAGGAGGTAGCATATGATCAAGAACCAATGGTACTGAAGGAAGAAGTCCAAGCTGCACTGAAGGCATTGGCAAAAAACAAGGCTGCAGGAATTGATGGAACACCAGCTGAGATGTTTCAACAAACGGATGCAGCGCTGGAGGTGCACACTTGTCTATGCCAAGAAATATGGAAGACAGCAACCTGGCCAACTGATGGCAAGAGATCCATATTTATGCTTATTCCAAAGAAAGGTGATCTAAAAGAATGTGCAAATTATTGAACAATATCATTAACATTATAAGCAAGTAAAATTTTGCTGAAGATCATTCAAAAGTGGATGCAGCAGTACATCAACAGGAAACTGCCAGATATTCAAGCTGGATTCAGAAGACGATGGGGAATGAGGGACATAATTGCTGATGTCAGATGGATCTTGACTGAAAGCTGAGAATACCAGAAAGATGTTTACCTGTGTTTTACTGACTATGCAAAGGCATTCAACTGTGTGGATGATAGCAAATTATGGAACACTGCGCAAGACTGGGAATTTTAGAACACTTAATTGTGCTTCATGAGCAACCTATACGTAGATGAAGAGGCAGCCATTTGGACAGAAAAAGGGGATACTGTGTGGTTTAAAGTCAGGAGAGGTGTGCATCAGGGTTGTATCCTTTCACCATACCTATTCAATCTGTATGCTGAGCAAATAATCTGAGAAGATGGACTATATGAAGAAGAACGGAGCATCAGGACTGGAGGAAGACTCATTAACAACCTGCAATATGCAGATGACGCAACCTTGCTTGTGGAAAGCGAACAGGACTTGAAACACATACTGATGAAGATCAAAGACTACAGCCTTCTGTATGGATTACATCTCAAAACAAAGAAAACAAAAATCCTCACAACTGGACCAATAAGCAAGATCATGATAAATGGAGAAAAGATTGAAGTTGTCAGGGATTTCATTTTATTTGGATCCACAATCAATGACCATAGAAGCAGCAGTCAGGAAATCAAACAATGTATCCCACTGGGCAAATCTGCTGCAAAAGACCTCTTTAAAGTGTTGAAAAGCAAAGATGTCACTTTGAGGACTAAGGTGCACCTGACCCCAGCCCATGATATTTTCAATTGCCTCATATGCATATGAAAGCTGGACAATGAATAAGGCAGACCAAAAAAGAACTGATGCCTTTGAATTATGGTGTTGGAGAAGAATACTGAATATACCATGGACTGCCAGAAGAACAAACAAATGTGTCTTAGAAGTACAGCCAAAATGCTCCTCAGAAGCGAGAATGGTGAGACTTTGTCTCACATACTTTGGACAAGTTATCAGGAGGGACCAGTCCCTGGAGAAAGACATCATGCTCGGTAACACAGAGAGTCAGTGAAAGAGAGAAGCCCTGGTGGCGCAGTGGTTAAGAGCTCTGCTGCTAACCAAAAGGTCGACAGTTCGAATCCACCAGCTGCTCCCTGGAAACTCTATGGGGCAGTTCTACTCTGTCCTATTGGGTTGCTATGAGTTGGAATCGACTCAATGGCCAACGATACTGAGTAAAAGAGAAGAGGACCCTCAATGAGATGGACTGACACAGTGTCTGCAATGATGTGCTCAAGCATAGCAAGGATTGTGAGGATAGTGCAAGATGGGGCAGTGCTCCGTTCTGTTGTACATAGGGTCGCCATGAATCAGAACAGACTTGATGGTACTAACGACACCAACAAGGCTCTAAATATGTTCAATAAACGATGTTTCTTATCTTGTGATGTTTAAATCTTCTCTTTTCTAATGTTTTTGTCTGCTTGATCTATTGATAACTGAGAAGAGTGTGCTGGAATCTCCCACTATAACGGTGGATCAGTCAATTTCTCCCTATAGTTTTATCAATTTATTAAAATTTTTTTTTTATTTTACTTTACATGAAGGTTTACAGATCGAGCCTAACCCAGCTTCTCATTAAGCAATTAAAAAAATATATATATTGTTTTGTGATATTGGTTGCCAACCCCATGACATGTCAACACTCTCTCTTTCTTGACCTTGGGTTCCCTGTTACCAGCTTTCTTGTCCCCTCCTGCCTTCTTGTCCTTGCCCCTGAGCTGGTGTGCCCATTTAGTCTCGTTTTGTTTTATGGGCCTGTCTAATCTTTGGCTGAAGGGTGAGCCTCAGGAATGACTTTATTACTGGGCTAAAAGGGTGTCCGGGAGCCATAGTCTCAGGGTTTCTCCAGTCTCTGTCAGACCAATAAGTCTGGAGTTCTTCTTTTTTTTTTTTGTGAGTTACAATTCTGTTCTACATTTTTCTCCAGCTCTGTCTAGGACCCTCTACTGTGATCCATGTCAGAGCAGTCGGTGGTGGTACCATCATCTGCTTGTACTGCACTCAGTCTGGTGGAGGCTGTAGTACTTGTGGTCCATTTGGTTCTATCAATTTTGCTTACGTACTATGAAATATTATTTTATTAGGTACATATAGATTTAGAATTGTTGTGGTTTGTTATTGAATTGAATCTTTTATTATGAAATACGTATGGACCACAGAGCATAAAATATTTATAGGAAAAGTTTGCTGACCCCTGAAATAAACTAATAATATTTGCTAGGGGAAAAGAGTCCTTTTCTACAGAATGCCCTTAGTAGGATGTATCTGGCTAAGGATTACTTACAGTAAATAAACAGAATCTATGAAGCAGCCTCCCTGAAGACTGTCACATAAAGTCACTCAACTCTCTGGGACATAAAATGGAGATGTTTTGTAACTTAAATGCTCCCTACTGTGTGAGGTAATAACCCGTAAAACCTCACTTGGAGACCTCATCTATTGGACTCTGTTCTTAGGCTCTATTCTGCCCCATTGTTCTCCTTCTCTATTCCTGTGCCAGAATCCATGCTATTCCATTGATTGTAGAGGTATAGCTTGTATGGCTGAGGAATAGATCATGCTGAGCTTTGTTTTTGATGGATACTGTACTGTAATGGGTTTCTCTTATGTGGCCTTTCTGGCCCTGGCTTTGCAATTCTCTCAAAATGATTGGCTGGGCTGCAATCTGCCAAGTGATTGGTAAGTTTACTATCCACATAGCCAATCCACCAATAGGACTGGCTGGTTTACGATCCTGTTAGGAAAGCCGCATCTTGAAATTGGCAAGGAGTTTTCCTATGTAAGTGGCCGATCTCACAGAAAATTTTTTGAACTTCTCGATCAACAAGAGCCTGGAAAGGAGTGCGTCCTTTGACCTGGGGTCCCTGTGCTGAGAACCTCCCACACCCAAATAAAAATAGTCTGGAACACTGAGCTGATAACACAGAAGAAGCCCAGAAAGGACTCTGCAGCAGAGCCAGCAGCAAGAGGCCTAGAAAGGAGCCAGTGGCGGAGAGAGCAGTGAGGGTAGTGCCAGTGGGCAGAGCTGGCACACAAAGTGGAGCTGGGCACCTCTGGGCAGGAGGTTGCCAGTAGAGCTTGGTGCCCTGTAAAGGGGAAACAGCTACAGTTTGGGCCCATGCAGGCAGACGCCTGAGCAGAGGAAGCGGCAGTGTAGGGGCCAAGTTGGCCTGCCTTTGGCAGTGGCAGGCGCCTTGGCTGTGCTGACAGCTGTAATATTGAGGCCAAGAAGAGGCTGAGAGGAGGCCCGTCCTGAGGGGGCCGGGAGGGGGCCTGTCCAAGGGCCAAGAGATTGCCTGCAGAGGGTTGGGCAGACACTGTACAGAGGTTGTCCGTAAAATACTTTTGCCTTGAGAGCTGTTGTAATGCTGGCCTAACCCAGGCGCTGGCCAGGGCTATCCCAGAGCTGCTGGTTGAGAGTAGACCTGTAAGCACAGGGGGCCAGACCCAGCCAGAAAAAGTTGTGGGGAGAGAGAGAGAGAGAACGCAGCCGTGCCACCCCTGACCTGAGCTGATGACATGCCTGCTGACACCTGATCCACGGTGTACCCACCCAGTGACACGGAAATGGACATGACTAATTTGGGAAGGGTGAGCGGGTCCCCTTTCAGACACAACTGGATTCCTCTCCTATGATGCTGAGTGGGGTACTCGTGGGGGTGGAGGGCACCAGTTCACCTCACATCTGTTCCTGTTGTTTCCTGTCTGCCTTCTCTGAACAATCATAAGGCCTTTCAATCGTCAACATTTTGTAAAGTGTCTATGTGTGTGACCTAATCGGATCAGACAGTAGAGTCCATGGGGACTAAGGGGACACACCAGCCCAGGGGCAAAGACAAGAAGGCAGGAGGGGACAGGAAAGCTGGTAATAGGGAACCCAAGGTTGAGAAGGGGAGAGTGTTGACATATTGTGGGGTTGGTAACCAATGTCACAAAACAACGTGTACTAATTGATTAATGAGAAGCTAGTTTGTTCGTAAACATTCATCTAAAGTACAATAAGAAATAATTAAAAAAAAAAAAAAAGTAAGAAAACAGATAGCAGAGCCCTCAGCCTGCCAGTCTCATTACTGCCTGGGATTTTGAGTATAATCTGAGTATTTACGCACACAGTTTAGATACAAAGTTCAGCTTGCTGCCCTGTTATTTTTCTGTGTGAAGTTATGTTAAACCCCTAAACTGGATATTGGTGCTCCGCCCTGATCACAGAGTTAGAAGTGTATGGGAACTTACGGCCCCTCACAGTGGCCCGTACCCTATGACTGATGTGTGAGAGAGTCTCAAGACCTCAGCTCCCTTCCTTGGGGTAGGGACAACTCTGAGGTGCAAATCTCACTCCCGAGTTCCCATGCGTGATCAGGCTGGAGCTACCCTCTGTAGGACTCTGAGAGCTCAACCTCGGTGGCCTTCATCCCCTTCCCTGTCCTGCTTCTCCCACCGCCTTGCTAGTGTCCCCGGGGAGCACTCCCTGAAGAATCAATTGCGCACAAATCTTCACCAAGGTTGGCTGCTGGGGAAACCGACCTATGACACCTAAGGAGAAGTGAGAATTTCCGTGAATTTACCTTTTAAAATTGATGCTGAGGTTAGCAGTCATGACAGCTCCCCCAGCTAGCATCGCATGCGTACCAAGAGTGGTATCGATCAGGGTCACAAGGGCACCTCCGTGGAGGAAGCTAGTTACAGGAAGGGGGGAAAAATATTTTCAGAAGTTCTGGTAACAGAGAGTCTCTCTCTCTCGAGAGAAAACTCACCCAAGCATCTCCACACATTTACTTATGAAAGCTCCACGTGGCTGTGTTCAGGGTACTGAATGTCGGATAACACCGATGTATCCGAACTGATTTTGTTCACAGCATAATAGTGTAGTCTTCAGCATTTGTAATAAATCTGGAACTTAGAGCACAAGCAAGCACAAAGGTAAAATATAATTCTGAAAACCTATATTTTGTTTTTATTAAATAAATGTGTATTATACACATTCATTGTTTAAAAATTTGGGAAACGCAGATAGCAGAAGACAAAAGGAAAAAAAAAACCGTAAGGCCCACAATCCTACACCTAGTGACAACCACCGTTAACATTTTAATGGTATTCTCTCAAATTACACTCTATTGCCCTATGCGTTTTTCATTGAATAATACAAGCATCCTTCCATGTCAATAGATACACAGCTACATCACCACTTTATGGCTTTCACTGTAGTCCAAGGATATGCAGAGAGGGTATTTCAGATTCCACACTTCTAGGCTATCATTCTTACCCAGGTATTCCTTGTAGGTAGAGACCTCCTTGAAACAGGCAAACTATTCTTTTCTCATCCTTACTCCAGAACATGGCATATTCAAAGCCCAGGCCATCCTCAAAGCTTCTGGGGAAGAACTTGGCCTGTGATATTTGTTCTTCTTTCACAGGTATTGAGCCTGTAGGGAGATAAGAGATGGGCAATGGCACAAGAGAAACAGGTTTTAGAGAAATGCCGTGACAGAACTAAGTGCCTGCACCTGCTAGAATCCCAGGCCAGTGGTTGTTGATTAAAATCTCAACTGGCAAATGGAAGGGAATAGTGGGGTCCCAAAGAAACAGAATATAGTAGGACCTTTGCCCTTGGGAGTTCATAATCTAACTGGGGGAATGGTAAACATAAATGAAATCAAAGCAAAGACGCAGTCACACATGGCCATCAGAGAATCCAGCAGATAAATGCTGAGGGTAGGCTAAGCAAAACGGCAAGGTGCAGACAGAAACTCTTCTTGGAATAAAACCAAACCAAGCCTGATGCTGTGGAATCTACTTTGACTCACAGCAATCCTACGGGACAGAGCAGAACTGCCCCAAAGGGTTTCCAAGCAGTGGCTGGTGGATTCGAACTGTTGACCTTTTGGTTAGCAGCTGACTGCTTAACCACTGCACCACCAGGGCTCCCATCTTGGAATAAGTGTGATTTAAGGGAAATGAATAAGGTAACAGTAAGAAGTTTCTTCCTGATGGGCATGAGGTTAGCCTGAGCAAAAGACAGTTATCATACTGAATAGAAACTGTACAAGTTCAGCTTGCTATTCCATGTGATTGTGATTCTAAGCCTACAAAACGGGAGTTAGAACCATTGTTGTTATTGTTGGGTGCCTTCGAGTCTATTCCGAGTCAAAGCATCTCTGTATGACAGCACAGAACTACCCCACAGGGTTTGCTAGCCTGTAACATTATGGAGGAAGCTTTGGTGGCACACTGGTTAAGTGCTCCGCTGCTAACAAAAAGGTTGGTCGTTTAAACCCACCAGCTGCTCCGAGGGAGAAAGACTTGGCAATCTGCTTCTATAAAGATTACAGCCTTGGAAACCCCACGGGGCAGTTCTACTCTGTCCTATAGGGTCACTGTGACTTGGAATTCACTCAAAGGCAATGGGTAATCTTTATGGGAGCAGATTGCCAGGTCTTTTTTCCCACAGAGCAGCTAGTGGGTTTGAACCACCAACCTTTTGGTTAGCAGCCGAGTGCTTAACCACTGTACCACCAGGGCTCCTTTAGAACCATCAGAGGTCATGAAATCAAATTAGCGGGCTGTAACCAGCCTTTAAAAGAAACAGAATGCATCATGTAAATCCAGAGCCAGTGCGAGTGTGCTTGCTCAGATGCTTTCACTATACATTGCACACAACATGTGTGTACTGGGTTATGATTCAACTATAGGTCGCTTCACAATCAAGACTGAAACCTACTGCTCCAAAGGAAGGGTATATTTGTCCTTTCATATTTATTTTAACATTGAATTCCCAAAATGCTTAGCTTTTTTTTTTTTTCAAAAAGCTCATCACGATTTGCCATGCATAATATTGTCTGAGTTCCTTTTATTGCTACAGATTTATATTTACAAACTTGGAAAAAGATATGAGATGAGTGGATTTGGGAAAAGTGGGGAAAGGGAACAGGAGGATATCTTTTAAGGCCATGAGCATCCCGGGGGCAGGCACCTTGCCTTTTAAACTTTGCATTCAAACAATTGTTAAATACATTAGTGACTTAAAAGACCAAAAAGAGAAACTTAAAATTGGGATCAGTATTATCGCACAGTGGAAAGAGTCTTGGCCTGGAAGTTGGGAAAATTAAGTTCTTGGTCTAGCCTGGCCTAGAACTTGCTGCCTGCTCCATGCTTCATCCACACAATAAGGAGATAGATCCAAATAACCTCTAAGATCTCATCCAACTCTGACATTCTGGGACTTGAGGATAAGATAAGCACCAAACCATTCAAATTTTTTACTTTGGATAGGAGTTCACAATTTCATCAAGTACAACTCTTAAATGCTTCTGGTAGATAATAAAAGTCCAAAAGGAGCTTGAGGTAGGTACAGGTTAACTACTATCCCACAGAGGTTGCTCCTTAAAGCAAGTCTCGGATCAAATTCCACCACACATACAGTCATTTATTAAAAGAGAGAAAGAAGTAAAAGAAAAAAGAAAGAAAGAATCACTAGCAAGTAAGCACAAAGCAGTAGGCAGACCTGCTCTATAAGCCTGATGGACTGTCCATTCTTCTTCCTTCCAGACTCCAACCTTTTGGGCATAAAGAGTTGAGGCAAAAGTCAAGATTCCAGAGGCAGAATTTCGCTGCCCTTACAGTAGACATCAGGCAACCAGAGATCCTCATAAACCAATGGCTGAGCACAGGCCCTTTTAGGGATCAAGCCTCACACCAGCTTAGGCGGGCAGGCCACAAGCCTTCTTAGATTCTTATATCCTTCAGGCAAGGGTAGGAGGTGTCTCTAAAAATCTCAGCTAATCTAAATAGCTTAAATAACTTTACCTTCATTAATGGCAGCCCATTTCTTACATTCATCATGCTAATTAACAAGCCACTAATTTGATACATACGCACAAACCCTTTTCTGACATTCACTGTGCAAAGCAGCAAAACCTCAGCTGTTGACTGAGATAGAGTGTTGACGGGCAAGTAGGAGATACCTCACGAACGGGGCCTTTCTGGGAGAATGCTGGCTGACCACTCCTGCAATATGGAATCTTCCTTAGGTCAACCGACTGCCCTGAGAGCGGAAGCTTAAAGTAAGTGGCTTACCCCTGCCGTCCCACTGTCTCTGCTAAAGGAGTTAAGAGAATTACAGACATAATACATCTGCTATGATTCCCTTCTACACATTCTTTGGCATTCAAAGAACTTTTTAACAGTTTAAGCAACTTGGTTTCTTTCCTCTTCTTCTCTTCCAAAAGCCTATCGATTTGAGTTTCCCTTTTTATTTTCCATCTCTCACTTCCCTCTTTGGCAAGTCTGAATGCTCCCCCTTCATCTGACACTTTCGCATCTCTCTAGGGAAGCAGTGAAGACCATACATGATGACATACTACTTAAGTTGTCTTCTCAGGGCCAGAAGGATGCAGAGACGCTGTGATTTTACCTGATGCTGTTCCACGACCCAACGTCTAGCCAAAAACAGAACTGATTTTGCCTCTTCTTCCATCACCTTCATTATAATTTTCTTTTTTTAAAAAATTGTTAACCTCTTTGTGCCTCAGCTTCCTCATCCATAAGAGGGAATAATAGAAACTCTTCCACGGAGTTGCTGTGAACATTGCATCTGACACATGGTTAAGTACTATAGATTCTTTATGTCAGTAAACCTACAATGCATTTGTCTTATTTGGAGGTATTCATTAATTCAACAAACGTTTACTGAATTCCTAAGATATTAGGCATTGTGTTAGGCACTGGGGAACTCAAAAGTGAGTAAGAAAAGATCTCAGTTCTTAAGGAGCTTACAGTCTGGTGGGGGCCCAGAGACTTAAACAGATAAGCCTAATACAAGGCAGTAGGTGAAACACTAGAGGACATAGGACAGGACACTGTGGGAGCACACAGGGACAGCCTGGGGCCTCCGGAACATTGTCACCTTAACCGAACCCCTTTAACAATTGACAGGTTATTTGAATATTTGAGTAAAAGTCAACCAGGTCTTGGAGGTAAATGGGAAAAGGACCTCCCCCACCCCCCAAAAAACCCCAAACCCGCTACTGCCAAGTCAATTTCGACTCATTGTGACCATATAAGACAGAGTACAAGTGCCCCCTCCCCCACAATAGGGTTTCCAAGGCTGTAAATCTTTACAGAAGCAGACTGCCAGATCTTTTGCCCATGGAGCAGCTGGTGGGTTCAAACCGCCGACCTTTTGGTTAGTGGCTGAGCACTTAACCACTGCACCACCAGGGCTCCTTGGGAAAAGGACCTTTCTGGCAAAGGGGACAATAGAAGCAGAGTTAGAGGAGGAAGTAACACCGTGGATGCAAGCTAGGGAACCTACGGAAATGCAAAGCTGAAGGTGAACAACGAGGCCAAGGATGCAGGACCCAGATCCGGGACCACCTGCTGCGTTAAAGAACGTGAAGTTTTAGCGCAATACGGTGACTAGCTACTCAGAGCGCAGTCCATGGGCCAATGGCACCAGGGCCATCCCGCGGCTTGTCAGAAATGCAGGATCTCAGGCTCCACCCCCGACTGACTAAGCAGAACTTGCATTTTAACAAGATTCCCAGGAGCTTCATATTCTTGCTAATTAGCATGGTAAAGTCTGAGAGGCACTGGTCTTTTAGACCTGGTCTGACAGATTTGCACCGTGAATCACTCTGCCAGCTGGGTGCAAGGAGGGATCTGCGGAGGGATAAGAATGAGACAGGAGATGAACTAGAAGACCGCGGGAAAGCGACACAATCTATCAGGATCCATCACCAAACTTATCTGCTGGGTGGGATGATTCTCTCCAGCAATGTTCAACTACACGAGGGCCTGTGCAAAGAAGGGATGGCAGATGGTTGGATTCATCCAGGGTTGGGGGTTTTCCGAAAGTGGGCTAGAGAAATTCAGATACAAGGGGAAGACGGGACAAAGAGAAAGTAGAGGACTCAGTTGACTGAAGTCTTAAAATGAGGTCAAAGAGCTGTTTCTGAGGGGCCCTTGAGCAGGTGAGCTGGAAGGACAAAGGACTGTGGTCAGAAAACAGCATGTCTAAATGTGTGCATTTGGAGGCTGTGCCGTTTCTAAGGGTAACAAGGCTCAACACGTCCATGGGCGTGTGTGGCTGGGGTGGGGCAAAGAAAAGCTCACAGGTCACGAGGAGGCAAATGAACCGACGAGCCAGGGCGTGGGATGCTGGAGCTGCTGAAAATGGTGAACGGGGCTGGGCAGAGGGGAAGACAGTTAACCAGGTGCTCAAACACTGAACCCACAAGGGAGACATTGGCAGATACAGCAACAAAGAGGGGACAAGGGGAGGGTGATGAAGTCAGACGGCACAAACCTGAAAGGAACGGGGGATGACCTAAGAGGAGGGGGAGGTAATAGTTTGGAAGCCACTGTGTGTAGCCAGGAGGACCTAAAATACCTTCCGATTCTGAGAGGATCAGATTTCAGTAAAGTG